ACATGACTTACGTTTCTGTCCTTGCTCTAGTTGTTCTTTAGTTTCCTTGGATATATACTCAGTCACCAACTCGGGTTTATGGTTGACAAGAACATACCTAAATTCAATAAAAAAATACAGACATAGTAAAATAAATTCTGAAATATGGTTCTATGAATCCATCAAAAAATAAATGACTATTCAAACAATTTTACTACTATGTGTTCTCAACTGAGAACTGGTATCAACTTTATAAGATTTGAAATGAATCACGGTACCAGTGTTTTCCCTTTATTTCAAAGTACAGTAAAAGGTTAGAGATCAGTTGTAACAGGCTTTGGGTTGCGTTTATGAACAAAATCTCTGTGGACCTTACCACAATTTTTATTTCAAAGCAGCACTTATGTTAATTGAAGCGGTCAATTTGGCTGGTAGCCGGTTCTTAGGGAAAACACCATGTTCCTGAATGTGTTATTGACTTTAGAAGTTATACAAATAAAAATATTACTCTGCCTTGATCCTTGCAAATCCAGGTTTTTCCACTCTCTCTGCAGGCTCTGTGGAGTCTTGTTTGGCATCTTCTTTCCGCATGTCATCATTCATTGTTGTATTAGCTTTGTTGTCAACTTCCATACTTTTAACCTGTTTGTCGGTAATGTTCTTTCCCTCTTTATCACTTTCTATTATAATTTTTTCTGCTTCATTTTCCACAAGTGCCATTCCTTTTCTGTAAGTGTAAATATTTTCATAAATTACAGGAATTCTAGATATTACATTTAGTATCTATGTTTTCTATAATATATATACTATATATCGGCAAAATTATTGGGGGGGAGGGGTTACGCCCCCCCCCCCCCGGCCCCCACTCCCGGTTCGCACGGTCATGAATTATGACCAAGGTTCAAGTTTTTGTGACAGACTGACAGACAAATGAAAGCGGGGGACAATACAACTGCTTACCTTATGCAGCTGTTGTGGTCCTGAATTTCAGGCTGAAAGTCTAGATTTATTTCAGAGCTGTGCACAATAACTGATATTGTTTAAAACTATGTCTTAAAAAGCCACAAACTCCATCGGTATATTTGCTGACAATATCATTTACCAATTATTGAATATCTATTGTTTTTGAAGCATGCTTCACATGCTGCAATCGAAAGCAATGTCTTTTTTCCGGTTTGAAGGTGCTAGATAAGTTATACCAAGGAACAAACTTGGATGGATAGATCGTGCAATTAGATTTCCATTAATTTTGTATTTGCTGCAATACTTTGATTAAAGCATCTATTTTGACTAAAAGCATATTTCTATAATTGTCTTTGGGTGGTTTTAATAAAAATCAAAACAATCAAAAGCAAAATCGAATTATCATGATCATTGAACAAATTCACCATGTTCACTGAAGAGTGAAAATTGTAAAGTTACATGTCCATATTACAAATATCCTTTAACCAGTGACCTGAATGCTGCAGTTGACAGAATATGTCTCATATTCATACATTTCCTTAACCTATTGTATACGAGTATACTGTGAACAGGTAAAACTCCAATGCTCAAAATTCTGATTATGGTTCTGCAATTTTTGGTACATGTATGATTGTATACTTGTTGAACTTCAAAATAAACCAGGAAATCGTTTGCATCAAATACAGGCAATCATGGATTAATATTTTCAAGACCATGAATAGATAAGTGATTTTGGAGTCCCCATCATTGACTCTTTAATTATTTTTTTCCCTATATGTCTCAAAATATCGGGTGTTGCTAAAACGCGGAACGGAAAACGGAACGGAAAGCGGAACGGAACGGAAAACGGAAAATTTTAGTCAAACAAATAACATAGATTCGATATAAATCAGATAAAAGAGCAATATTTTTGTTGTAAAAATCATTTCTGAAAAAAAAATTATTGTAAACTATTATATATTCATGAGTCATACACAACTTCCGTGGAAAAAATGGTACTGAAAGAAATTCAACCCCCCCCCCCCCCCCACACACACACACACACGAAATAGGATTTTCGTGTTTGGGCAAAGGACATATCCCCCTTTTCAAAGTCTGTAAAGACAAAAATAACTATTTATGATATTCAGATTATGCACGCAGTGTCGAATTCGCGAATCATGAAAGGGGGGTGGCAGTTTAGGGTCTGTGTAGGGGCCCACAGTCACATAAAAAATTGATTTATTAAACCTTATGTATATTTTTGACACAAAAAGGGGGGCATTCATATTAGAACTTCTCAGACCTTTCCGATGAGAGGGAAAACAAACTCATTTTTTACGGGGTCATTCATATAACCCCCGCCCCCCCCCCCAAACATACACAGATATGTACCGCAAACAAAATTTAACTTCACATGAAAGTTTTCCAACTTTGTCTTTCCAGAATTTAAATATATAGAAAATTATTCGAGCTTGCTGTAAAGGTTTGCCCTAAACGTATTATCTTAATAATTTTTTTTTTTTTTTTTTTTTTACATTTTATTTCTCTTTCATGGTTCATTTAGATATCAAATATTTGATCCCCCAGTCATAACCTTTTTACTACGGAAATGTTCGTTCAAGTTGACATCTTCATACTTTTGGTGAATGTAATAAATGTAGTAATTAGTGTAAAAAAAAAATGGTACTGAAAGATGTTGGAATTGGAACTTTTCCCCCCTCCCGAATCAAACAATTGTTTCTTTTTGTGTTTTTGCTTGTCAAATACTTTTCGTTTATCCCCCCCTTTCAAATTCGATTCTAGGTGACTGCTATATGTTAGCGATTTTCGTAAAAAAAGAGATTGAGCATGACAAAATCAACTTGTATTTAATAGTGGGGGATTGAATATGTACAAAATATATCGTTTATGATAAATGTTGTGTATTTTCAGTGATTTAATCCAAAATAATATATTCCGTTTTCCGTTCCGTTCCGCTTTCCGTTCCGTTTTCCGTTCCGCGTTTTAGCAACACCCCAAAATATCCTAGCAATCTTTAAAAATTTTCTCTGTTCCTCCAATCTTGAGGTAATGATGTATGACTTTATGATCCAATCACTCTTGCAGAGTGCTCATCCATTCCTCTCATTCTCCTTCATCTCTGCAATGGCATCGTGTCAAGATTTTTTTTTACATGAATTTGAAGTAAAACATAATATTGCAATGTTTATTTCAAATGAAACTTAAAATTCTAGATCAATACATGTATCTCAATCTACATGTATTTTATTACTTTGATAACCATAAGCTGACAGCTAGAGGTGAATTTATGAGACGAAGGTAGAGAGTGAAGCATATCACATTGAGTTAAAAAATTATTCATAATATTTCATTTGTTTAAAACAGTACACTTATTTTATCACTTTCACATACATATAAATTACGTACATAATTCAGTCCATACTTGTTTATGTGCAATGTAACATTCCACAACATCAATGTCTATAATTAAAAATTTTAAGTGTTCAGAAATGGCCCTTTTTTCTATGAACTTATTTTAGGTTTCCAAATTAATAAAAGTAATAAAAGCTCCATTTAAACTATATACTAATTTTTATGAAAAAAACTTCATGTAAAAACATATTAAATCTGCAAAAGGTTATTTATCCCAATGCACAGTGATAAAAAAATCAATATCTATAATCGTTATCAGTAAATTGTCCTTTTCAAATTCTTTTCTCTTTTCACAGACATTAAAGTATTTTAACAAAAATGCATGATTTTTAAAACTGTTCCAATTTTTAGACATTAGAACAATCACAACTGGCATCTGTAGATTGTACAAGACAAGCACTTTTTATCAAGTATTAAAGATTCCAATAAGAAATAGACAGTAGACATTTAAATCTAGAAAGTAACTTTCGTGTGGACTTTCTTGAAAGCTCTTGAGATTCTCCAGGAATTTGGATCTTCGTATTTGTTGTATAACGGCTCGATTTTCTGCTGTTTTTTCTGCTTGCTGAGTTTTGTTGGGTCGCTGAATCGGAAAAATTTTGGAGCAAATTCCACAAGCCACTTGGGATCAATGGCCGTTACCTCTCTCATGTATTCTTTTGTTGTCAGCACGAGTTCATGGTAAATCACCCTGTAAAATTTGAGTGATACATAAAGAGTTTAATTTATGTCATCCCCATACAATCAATAATTGTACAAAATTTAAAATTGCTACAAATAGAGGAGAAAACCTGCCCGTCTCCATAATAATTTCTTAATTCACTAACTCTTTGGGAATACAAACTCTCTCAAGAAAATTTGATTTTGCATATACTGTAACTTGTAAATATTAAAACCAATCAAAACTCTGTTCTAAAACATATTAAATGTAGTGGAATTCCAATTGACAATTACAGATTGAATGTTTTGTCTACTGACAGGGGCACCTGAGGGGTACTATACACATCACCTCTGTAGAACAACTTACCAGTCTGGTTGTCTGTTGAAGAGGGCACTAGAGGGGTGTATGTACACCACCTGACTGTCTACCAGGGTGCGATATCCCTCCTGGGGATCTTTCTTCGCGGCATTACGGAAAAATCCACTGCAGATGGCCTTCTGAACCCGAGCCGTATTCTTACCACAACTGACCACATCTAACTTATGTCTGCAAAATAAATCAAAGAGATAATTAAATCTTAAACTAAATTATATAAATGTGGCATCATATTATGACATGTCTCAATACAATAATTTCAAAGGGGAAAACTAAGAGGTTTGTGTGTTACAATATTTAGTACAAAATCGGTAAACAAGCCTTGGTCCACTCTTCCAAATTTAACCTGATGATTTTGTAAAATATTATGGCTAAAAATGAACCCTTCCACCTTTTTGTAGCATGGACATTTAGTTTCTTAATTATGGTACATGTAATATTTTTTGTGCCCATATGTCTAAGTGAATCCTCTTCAAAATCAAATCACAATCACCCTGTAGATATACACTGTACATGTGTATGAAGGGCAATGCCTCATTTTAGTTTTAAAAACTTAAAAAAAACTTTTAAATTTCAATTAAATTTCACGAATTGGAAATAATATCTTTATGAGCCTCCACTGAATGGACTCGACATTAAACCCACTTAAATTAAACCTTTTTATTTGTGTGTGAGAAATGTGTGCTTAGATATAGTTTCTTGACCTTCTCTTTCTGATACTGTGGAATCATCAATGTTTGTGGGGGACCAGTGTCCGTGGATTTCGTGGGTCTTCCTTATCCACGAAATTATATCCCCACGAACATTCATTTTATAATAAAACATATTTATCTTTTGAATCTTCTGTATATATGAGTTACCCACTAAATTATGTCCCCACGAAACAACAAAATTTTGCTTACCCACGAACATTGGCCCCTACAAATTAAAATGATTCCACAGTGTGTACTTCTTGCCTATTGTTCTGTGTTCCGTTAAACCTGTTCACTTTAAGTTTTAATTTTACAGTAAACTGATGAATGAAAAACAGTGATACTAGAAAACTGACCAGTCAGCAAGGGCCCCGTCATGGGGTAGAATTAAAAGGGTGCAGCTTACGGAATGATTAAAAAATGTAGAAGAATAAGCAACAGCAACTGTATTCTTAAAATTTCAAGATAATTCCTGAATATTCAAAAACCTGAAAATAATATCCTTGTATTTACATTACCCAGCAAAGAACAACTTAACATTGAATGTATTAAACAATTATGAAGCTTGTGTTATATAGAATGCCAGCCTTCAATGAATGCAAATATCATGAAGGCTTGACCTTCACTTCAATAAACAGCTGTTGCAGACAAAGGTTTTCATTAATCTTAAAGATAAAGAAAAGCCTTCTAAATTTTCTGCAGCAGGCTAGTTAATTGATCCCAAAGGATTAATTGTACCTCTCTCATCATTTTCTTCTAAAGTTACAATAAAAACTTTTTCAGTATCAATGATAGAATGGGGTTTTTATAAAAACTACCTTAAAAATTAATTAACGTAAAGTGAAAAAAGTAAATCAAAAAATCTTCTTTAATCTATTTCTTGTTTTTAGAATTCAATGAAATTATAACTATTAAACAAAAATAAATTATAAAAATTTATATCTAAATCCACATTTCACAGTGTTTATAGCATTCCAAATTGACTTAACTTCAAAACAAACTTCATTTGCAGACAGAGGTGGTAATTCATCTCAATGTGACAGATAAAGATAATGCTCTGGATTTTCTTCAGGAGGAAAGCTAATTAATCCCTATGGACTCATAGCCAGCATTCATTTTACAATGGGAACATCTTCAGCAGTTATCTCTCTTTGCCAATGCATTCTAAAGTTAAGGAATCTACCCTACCACCCCAGCTTCAAACCAGGGGACATAGAGAACCAAACTTAGCATCAAAATATGTATTTCTGCCTACTGAACTACCATACCAAATTTGTACTTGATTGGGCAACCATAAAAAAAAATTGCACATTCATTCATATGCATAGTTAAGGAATCTACCCCACCACCCCAGCTCCAAACCAGACATTGAGAACCAAACTTGGCATCAAAATATGTATTTCTGCCTACTGAACTACCATACCAAATTTGAACTGGATTGGGCAACCATAAAAAAAGTTATTAGAAAAAAACAGAAAATTTGTGGACGGAAGAGGGACAGACGGACAGACGGACAGACAGAGTGATTACTATAGGGCACCCGCAAATCCTTGCGGGGCCCTAATTATTCCTATTGTCTTCATATCCCAATTAAAAGTAATTAGAACATTTATTTTCCCTACCTGTCCATGATGCCCAACATCTGTTTGCGGACGTCCTGGGCTCTCTTGAGTGTGCGGATCTGTACAAAGTTTTCGTAGCACCACGGGCTGGAGAACTTGTTGTTCTTCCAAGAGTTGTACACCGCCAGTAGTGTCAGGTGGTCCCCCTCAGGCTGGTGGAACTTGGCTTTCTTCTGGTCCGCCAAATCCTGCTTGTCCTGAAAACACATAAACAAGTCGAAATATTTAACATTCTTTATAAAAAATGTATTTGATGAATAAAACTTTTGAAAATGTGTACATTGTAATTTGCTCGATAAGATTGAATCCAGGCATTCTTAAGGATACTTGTGCTTGTTTTTACTTATAACAACTTGCTGAAAATATATTTTATTGTTAAGGTTGGGGTGGGGGTAGCTGCAATAATGTAGCCCTCATTATTGGAGCTAGAGTGGGGATGTTTTTTCTAGTAAAGGAACATTGTTTCTTAGATTTCCTTCTATGTTCAAAGGTGAACAAACTAAGAATTTTAAAATAATCATGATCACAATGAATGTTAGTTACATGCTATCTATCACAAGATTGCACACTACAGTAGAGTATTTTATTCTTTCATTTTTTAAAAATTATTTTGCATCTAATACCGTATAGCGGGTTTTCTTGGCGGGTGTAAAATTTGGCGTTTTGCCTACGCAAAGGTATGTCAATAATTTTGGTGTAATCTATTTTAGCAGACACAGGGTTTCAGTCCTTTGCAGATGAAAACTAAGAAGAGAAGTGAATATTTTAGTGATTGAAATTTTAGCGGGCTACAATCAAAATGCCAAATTAAGCCAAAATTAACACCCCCCTACAATTACCCGCTATACGGTATACATTTAATTTAATAACTAATGAAAAATAATAGTGGGTAACCATGACATAAGAGCTTTAATGATACAGGTACATGTTGTTGAAGCAAATTAATTAATAGATAAATTGTGAAAAATAATGCTGGGACACTATAACACAAGAACATATTATAGGCCTTTCAACTGCCGCTAGGGGACGGTGTTATGAACGATAACTCACTGCTGAAACTTGTTTAGAGCAAGCTCGGGGTACCTAAATGTTTACACGCAAGGCAGTTTTTAGCATTTCCCAAGTGTTTCTTTGCTCTCAGTAGAATCCAGTGGTTTTAAAATTTAGCACCAATGTTAAACTTATTTACTGTGTAGTTGCGGACACCGTTTAACTACATATAATTAAAATTTTTAATGAAAATAAAAAGTGAAATCTACCCTCCTTCTTAGTTCTAACCTAATTAAATTTTTATACTCGGTTGTTCCCCTTTAGGCGTAGTAACACAAATAAGATGATAAATTGTTGCATTTACTTGTAAAAATACATATATTATATAGGAAGCGCAAAAGCGCGCACACAAAAAATATGACATTAAATTTTCTTCTTCAAAATAATCGTCAAAGAGAGTTAAAAATATTGAATATAGTCTGTTCCCCATTCATTTGACCCTGTTTTTTCAGGTAGAGTGAAGGCATTCTCTTTCTCTTGGTCAACAATTTTGTGTACAAAACAATGTAAGGAACCCTTTTGTGTACATAACAATACCAATGCTGAAGCAGCCTATATGTCATTCCTATAAACGATAACTCATAAATCGGCACTTAGTTGGTCATTTTTCACACCTGAATTACCTGTCCTTAAAAGACAACATTGAAAAAGTCAATTATAAATGATTAAACATTTTAATGATGCAATTAAAAGTATGCATAAGTTATCTTTTTTGTTAATCTCATGTACCTATAAATCTAGCTGCAATAATGTAGCCCTCTCCGATTTTTTTTATCTGATGTTTTCTCCCCCCCCCCTCCCAAAAAAGGGGGGGGGGAGGGCTACATTATTGCAGCTACTATAAATCTATCTATACAATATTTTTACCATATGTGCAACTTGAAAAATTAGTTGAAAGGCCTACATATTATACCTTTGGTCTATAGAAGACATTTTGGATGGACAACATAGAGACGACAGTCAGAATTTCATCACTACAGGCGAGGTGGACCGACATAATTAACATCTTAGACAACATGGGCTCCAGAGGAAACTCAGCCATCTACAAACAAGAGAAAAATCCCTAATAAATATCATACATATAGCTAAATAGACAACATGGGCTCCAAAGGAAACTCGGCCATCTAGGAACAAGAGAAAAATCCCATGTTATATCATACATATAGCTACATGTATGAAATATAAAATTCATCTACATAAACATTGCAAACTATACCAACACCCCTGCAATCTTTTTTACTGTGAATTCAAACCTTTAAAATTCAAATTTTTTCTTTTTTCTATGTTCTTTTATTCCAACAAAAAATTGTTTCCCAGTGCATGTCACATTAGAAAGATTTCTCTGTATAAACAATGTACATGTATACTGTAAATGTATTATATTTGGCATGTACGATATTTGGCGGAAATTGAGTTTTGAACAAGTTAGCGTAGATTTGATTTAGCGCATTTCTTAATGTTCCTATTTATGTATATATGTTCAAGACATTTAGCGTGTACTTGAATTAGCGGGAGTTTCTCTCCGCCAAAGGCGCTAAAAAGAATACACAGCCAAATGTAATACGTTTACAGTAAGTGATGTACATATTCATGAATATATTCATTAACTTTATATTGAACTTTACACAATAAAAAATTCCACTTGATGCGAGGTTTTGTTTCAAAAGGTGGTGTAAGCAATATAATTTAACTTTGATATATTTACTACTGTGGAATCATCAATGTTTGTGGTAGACCAAATTTTGTCCCTCTTATCCATAATATTACATCCCGCTGAACAATTTTCAATAAATCTTCTGTATACAGAAGTTACCCACAAATTAACTTCCCCAGGAACCAATAAAATATTTCTTGCCCATAAAACATTGCCCCCCCCCCCCCCCCCCTTACGAATTTAGTGATTCCACAGTACTGTATACAGGGTAATTTTTGCCTCATGTGATTTTTGCCCTTTCATACTTGCAAACAATTTCGCCCCCTTTTAAATTAGCCCAGTCATTGTTTTGTGTATAAAGAAATTATACTGTATTCTTTGAATTCTACCTCTTTTGAATTTGCCCGAATGAGGGTAGGGCAAAAGGGGCGAAAATAAAACAGGGGCGAAAATTTGCCTGTATACAGTATTCATTATTTCCAATCTGCACACCTACCCTCCTTCCCAGCCTAGTCAGGAGACCCTCGTCGTCCAGAGCGCTGAGGGCGTGAAGCTGCTCCATGGCCGATATCAGGGTCTGCATAGGAGGGGCGTCCATGAAATCAAACGACAGCAGGTCATTGATCCCCATGGCTTTAAGAGACAGCACGGTACTGGCTAAGTTTGTTCTCTGGATCTCCGGAACGTTCGTTGGCAGCATCTCATCTCTATAGGCGCGCTCGGTGTACAAACGGTAACACTTCCCCGGTCCCGTTCTTCCTGCTCGACCCGCTCTCTGTTTGGCTTGAGCCTATAAATTTACATATTTAAATAT